CTCCCCCCAGCCCCTCTGTATCTCTTTTTCCTTTTCTTCAGCCCCTCTGTGTCTCTTTCACCCTCAACCCCTTTGTATTTCCACTCACAGGCTCTTCTCTGTGGCTCTTTCCTCCCCAGCCCCTCTGTGTGTCTTTCTCCCCCCTCATGTCCCTCTGTGTGTCTTTCTCCCCACTCAGGCCCCCCTGTGTGCCGTGCCCCTCTCCCCTCCATGTCCCTTAGTGTTCCTCTCTCCTCCCCTCCATATCCATTAGTGGTCCTCTCCCCTCCCCTGTCCCTTAGTGTTCCTCTCCCCTCCCTTCCCTGTCCCTTAGTGTTCCTCCTCCCTCCCTTCCCTGTCCCTTAGTATTACTCTCCCCCCCTCCCCTGTCCTTTAGTGTTAATCTTCCCTTCCCCTTACCTGTCTCTTAGTGCCCCCCATTCCCCTTAATGTCTCCCCTTCCCTGTCCCATAGCATTATTTTGCCCCCTTCCCTGTCCCATAGACTTCTCCCCCCCAACCCTGTCCCATAGTGTTCTTTTTCCCCCCTCACATAGTTTCCATTCCCCATCATAGTATTCCTGCCCCCACCCATAGTTGTTTATTATCCTTCCCTTCCCCTGTACCTCAGTGCCCCCATGTTCATCTCCCCCAGTGTTCTTTTCCCCTCCCCTGTCCCATAGCATTATTTTCCCCCTTTCCTGTCCCATAACATTATTTCCTGCATTCTTTCCCCCTTCCCTGTCCCATAACATTATTTTCCCCTCTTCCCTGTCCCATAACATTATTTCCCCCCCTTCCCTGTCTTATAGCATTCTTTTCCCCCTTCCCTGTCCCATAGCATTATTTACCCCCTTCCCTGTCCCATAGCATTCTTTTCCCCCCTTCCCTGTCCCATAGCTCACCTCCTGCTGGTCACTCCAATCTAGCGGCCCCCGGGCCGGCGCGCCCTAAGGTGGCCGCTTATGTCGTCTTATGGACGTGTCGGCCCTGTTTACTATGTGCTACTTACATGTAGCTTTTTGATACTAACTGTTTCCCTCTAAAGTCTAACAACCTATCTAAAGAAAAATAAAGATATTCTGTTTCAATGCGCTAGATTATCCTTAGATTACAGAAACATTTTTTTTATTAAAAAATTAAATATTAGGGTTATTTATCATAGAAACATAGAATGTGACGGCAGATAAGAACCATTCGGCCCATCTAGTCTGCCCAATTTTCTAAATACTTTCATTAGTCCCTTAGGATAGCCTTATGCCTATCCCATGCATGCTTAAACTCCTTCACTGTGTTAACCTCTACCACTTCAGCTGGAAGGCTATTCCATGCATCCACTACCCTCTCAGTAAAGTAATACTTCCTGGTATTATTTTTAAACCTTTGTCCCTCTAATTTAAGACTAGGTCCTCTTGTTGTGGTAGTTTTTCTTCTTTTAAATATGGTCTCCTCCTTTACTGTGTTGATTCCCTTTATATATCCTTCTTATACATCACTAATAAGCAAAATATAGCTTAAATGATGAGTTACAAGCAGACGGTTTTATAATTAGACATAATGAAACAAAGGTGTAGAAAAAGAATTGCCATCTGCCCTTGGTCAATATACTAGTGTATATAGGGCATGCTGTAAGCTTGTGTTAGGCATGGATCTCATACCAGTAAACTTGGAGTAGCCTGGCCGTGCTATGTAAAGAAATGTATAATGCATTCTGATTTTTACATGAAGGATTGTGACAATGAAATGGTTAGTTACTCTGCATGCTGTCGCTGTCTACTCTATGCCAATTCAATAAACTACAGTAAGTATTAAATGCTGCTGCTCAACAATTTTTTTTATTATTTCGTCCCCACTGCACATCAATTTATCATCACCCAACCACTTAATTAAATTTTTTGTAACATCATTTAGAGCTAGTGAGCATAGATATTTATTTATTTTATTTTTTTTCCCAGACAGTCCGCAAAGGGATTCCCACTGCTGATGTCCCAAGGCACAGTACAAAGAATCGTAATTATGTGCAAGTGAGGGTTATAGATAATGCAATATATATTCTGACAAATACGTACAAATGAAATAGCGAGCCCTGTCCATGACCTTGTAATCAAACGTTCACTTCTCATTTTTATACGTTTGTTACATTTAATGAAACCCAATGTGGCTGCTCAGTCAGACAAAAAAAAAAAGTGAAATGTTCTCCAAAAAAAAATCAATATATAGAATAAAAAAAAAAAAATATGAGAAAATAAGTTAATAAATGTAATACACTTTAAAAATAAGTTTAAAAAAATGAGAAGTGGAAATTTTATGACAGCTGTCGCATAAGGAGGCATTGGTTTGTGGAATTTTTTTTTTAGCGTTGGTACTTATTTGTAGGGGTTACTTGTGATCAATATGATTTGGATTGTAACTCCTTTAATTGAAAATCAGTGTGTAAAAGCAACATTTGCAATACATAGTGCCTGATTTATTTCTTCAATATTCTTCAAAATTAACCCAATATCTGTGTAACATCACTTAAAAGGCTAAATAAGCCCGCAGTGAGAGTCAGTAATAGGAGATAGAAGATTGAGTGATATGACACGTTCTGTTTATTGATCAGCAGAAACGCGTTCACAATAAAAGCTCCCTAACACACTGTTTTACTGTATATTTTTTGTTTAAACAAAACTCAGTACATCCCAAATGAAGAAAAAAAAAAACTTGTTATGTTAAATGGAATACGACATTTCAAAGTATTTAATGTGTTAACATAAAAATAGTTGCACATTTTCTAAGAATGCACTAGTAACTCATTTTGTTGATTACGATAATTAGGAATTATTATTATTATGATATTTATAGAGCGCCGTCAAATTCCGCAGCGCTTTACAATGGGTGGACGAACAGACATGTAGTTGTAACCAGACAAGTTGGACACACAGGAACAGAGGGGTTGAGGGCCCTGCTCAATGAGCTTACATGCTAGAGGGAGTGGGGTAAAATGACACAAAAAAGTAAGGATAGTATTAGACTAATGACAGTTGCAGATGAGGAATCAGTTAGGAGCTATTAACAGTTTAATTGATACGCTTTTATGAAGAAGTGGGTTTTTAACGATTTTTTGAAGGAGTGGAGACTGGGTGAGCATCTAACGGAGGAGGGAAGCGAGTTCCACAGGAACGGTGCAGCCCTCGAGAAATCTTGAAGGCGAGCATCAGAGGTGGGAGTACGGATAGACGATAGACGTAAGTCTCCAGCAGATCGTAAGGGCCTAAATGGGACATACTTGTGTATAAGGAGGACAGATAGATGGGAGCAGCATTATGTAGAGATTTGAAAGCAAGAACCAGAATTTTAAATTGAGCTCTATATTTTATAAGAAGCCAATGTAGGGACTGACAGAATGGTGAAGCATGGGAGGTGCGGGCGGACAGGAAGATGAGCCTCGCCGCCGCATTCATTACGGACTGTAACGGCGCTAGTTGGGAGCACGTAAGACCACAGAGAAGCGGATTACAGTAGTCAAGGCGAGAAAGGACAGTGGAATGGACCAACACCTTAGTCGCATCAGGCGTTAAGTAGGCGCGGATGCGCGCAATGTTTTTGAGATGGAAATGACAGGATTTGGCGATAGATTGAACATGAGACTTGAAGGAGAGGTCGGAGTCAAAGAGAACACCTAGGCAGCGAGCCTGCGTGGTGGAGCTGATGGTAGCACCGTTGACTTGGAGGGAGGGAGACACAGGAGTAACAACACTTGAGGGAGGAAAGACCAGAATTTCAGTTTTGGTCAAGTTTAGTTTAAGGAAGTGGGCAGCCATCCAGTTAGAAACAGCAGAGAGGCAGTCAGAGACACTAGTCAAGAGGGACGGAGAGAGATCAGGAGAGGACAGGTAGATTTGCGTGTCATCTGCATAGAAATCATATTGGAAGCCACAGGAGCTAATGAGTTTACCAAGAGAGGCAGTATAGATGGATAACAGTAGGGGACCAAGGACGGAACCCTGGGGGACACCAACAGAGAGGAGTTGGGGAGAAGCAGCAGAGCCAGAGAAAGAAACACTGAAAGAGCGCTGGGAGAGGTAGGAGGAGCACCAGGAGAGAGCAGTATCTTGTAGACCGATATTGTGGAGGATGAGAAGAAGCTGTTAATGATCAACAGTGTCAAAAGACGCAGATAGATCAAGGAGAATTAGGATAGAGTAGTGACCACGAGATTTTGCAGCAAGTAGATCATTGGATACTTTGGTCAGTGCTGTTTCCACAGAGTTCTTAGCGCGGAAACCAGACTGAAGTGGGTCTAGCAGAGAGTTGGACTCGAGAAAGTTTGTCAATCTCGCATACACAATTTTTTCAAGGATCTTGGATGCAAAAGGCAGTAGCGAGATAGGACGATAGTTGGATGGGGAGTTAGGGTCAAGATTGGGCTTCTTTAGAATTGGGGTTACAGTTGCATGTTTGAAGGGCAAGAGGAGGGCAAGAGGAGAGAGAGAGAGAGATTGAGAATTTTAGTGAGAGGTGGAGAAAGAGAAGAAGACAGAGTACGGATGAGATGTGAGGGAATTGGATCTAGGGAGCAGGTGGCGGGGCAGGAGGACTGGAGCAGAGCAAAAACTTCTTCCAATGTAGGGGGTGCGAATGAACATAGAACAGCAGATGGAGTGAAGTTAGGGGAAGTATTGTAAGGGGAAGAAGAAAGATGGGATATCTCTTCTCTGATTGTAGAGATCTTGTCAGTGAAGTGAGTTGCAAAGGCTGAGGCGGTCAAGTTAGTAGGAGGAACAACAGGGCGAAGAAGAGAGTTAAATGTGTGAAAAAGTCGTTTGGGTTCGCGGGAGAGTGCGGTTATGAGGGTATTGAAGTAATTAACTTTTGCAGAGGAAAGAGCCAAGCTGTATGAGCTCAGCATAAATTTATAGTGGAGAAAATCAGATGCACAGTGAGACTTTCTCCACCAGCGGTCAGCAGTTCTGGAGCATTTTTGGAGGTATCGAGTGGAGGTATCGAGTGGTGTGCCAGGGTTGGTGTTGGGGGGGCCTGCGGCATTTAAATGTACAAGGTGCCATGATGTCTAGTTGAGAGGAGAGGGTGGAATTGTAGAAGGAGGTTGCAGAACTAGGACAGGTGAGGTTTGAGATAAGTAAAAGGAGAGTTTGGAGATTAGTGGAGAAATGCTCTAGGTCAAGACATTGGAGGTTTCTGTGAGAGTGATGTTCAGACGGTGGTGTCAATTGGGTCTTAGGTATGCCAATGTCAAAAGTCAGCAGATGGTGGTCAGATAGAGGAAAGGGAATATTGGAGAGATTAGAGGCAGTACAGAGGTTGGTGAAGGCAAGATCAAGAGTGTTTCCTGCTGTATGGGTTGCTAGATTTGACCATTGCGTAAGGCCAAAGGAGGAGGTTACCGAGAGCAGACGAGAGGCATCAGTGCAATTGGGGTTATTGATTGGGATATTGAAATCCCCAAGTATAAGGGAAGGAGTGCTAGATGAGAGGAAGTGTGGAAGCCAGGAAGACAAGTGTTCAATGAATAGTCTAGGATAACCAGGGGGGGCGGTATTCAAGCATAATCAAGGAATTATTAAGGAATTCAAGCATAATCAGAATATTTTAATGTTCTTTTTTCTAATTAGCACTTAGAACTACCTCAGTGCAATGGTCTTAAACTACTTCAAGAGGGCCCACCTCTTGATGTCAGAGTACATCAAGATAAATTTTTGTTGCCCTGTAAGTATAGTTCACTTCTATTTATTATGTGACAGCTATTAAGCAATTTTTTGTGTAATCTATTTTTCCAATTTTCCCTCTCTAACAATTATTTCTTACATTTAAACACTATAGGAGTTTGAGATACTGAGCTAAAATGTTTTGGAGTTTGAGCTTGTCACGAACTTACCTAAGCCTGACGTCCATGCTGCTCTTCTCCTCAGGCTGCGTAGGCAGAACGCAACGCACAACCGCATTACTCAGGTCCTCAGCCCATGCCACAAACGCACAAATAGGATTATGCTCACCTCCGGTACCGTGAACAGCTCTCTCTGCTAGTTCGCAGGCCGAACTATAGCCCCTATAAATAATTTTTTATTATTCCTTAAAGTGACCGCGACATCTAGGCAACCCCATGCTGTTTGGGGTCGCAGAGATTATGTGAACCAATGAGAACTCATATGAACCTGTTTAAAGCATGTTCTGGCCCTTACCCCTATTGTGGATTCTGTCCTGATATACGTTAGTGCTAATAGTAAGTCTCTCTTATTTCCTGATATTGACCTTGGCTTGTGTTTGTCTTTGTGTATTTCTGGTATCCTGACCCAGCTTGTTACTCCGTTTATCCGTACTTCTATATCCCTGACCTTGGGTATTTCTGACTTTGTATTTATCTGTATTAACTTTAAGTCCGGCCACTCTAAGGCCCGGTTATACGTCTATTACCCCTGTTTGTCGGATTTGCCATTCTTGTAAGTTGGGGTACAACCCCCATGACATCTTAAATCTTTATAGCTCAAGTTTCAACTCCGTCTTCATGGGAGAATTGGAGTTATTTGAACTTCTGTCCTTTTCAGTGCAACTTGAAAGCAGGGAGTGACTTGTGAAGGTCACTAGCATGCCGGTATACTCTGAATAGTAACTTAAAGTGAGAATACAAAATATATTCAAAGATAACGTCATTTTAGACCAAAGTAACAGAAGTGTAAGCATATCTGATTTGGAGAATTTGTTTCCAGTTTGGCTAATTTGACCTTAACTTTGGGATACATTTTAGCAAGATGTAATTATCACTGTCTTCTTTCACATGGAGAACATCTGCCTGGGTTTAAATATTTTTGGATAAGCTTTTCAAATGATTTTAGATTTTTTGATAAAGTTGTAAATTATTTCTTTTAAATATGAAAAAAAAATCAAAATAGTAAAAAATAAATAAATAAAAAAATTAAAAATGAATTCTTTAACCCCTTAAGGACCAAACTTCTAGAATAAAAGGGAATCATGACATGTCACACATGTCATGTGTCCTTAAGGGGTTAAAAATATTAAATCATTTGAAAAACAAAACAAAAAAATAAATAAAACAAAACCAAGGCCATAGTATATCAAACATATCCCTCCTTTGTGTAACAATGATCAGCACATTTGGATCCTAAGGAAGGCAGGCAGGTACAGATAGCTGGGTAAGGGGCACGTGTGAGTGTGGGGTAGTGCAGTGTAGTTTAGAAGGGGGTGGAGTGGTAGTCAAGGGGAGGAACTAATACATGAAAGGGGGAGTCATATAGATAGAGAGTCATCTTACCTTATCCCTCAGCCACTTTATTTTCGGCTAGGAAACATTTCCCCTCCATCCTGCTCTTCTTTGGTTTACTCCAATGTTTGTTTGCGTTAACGTGTTTTTCTTGTCACAGCAGGCGGGATTGTCCTGGTCAATCGGGGTTGGACTGGGAGTACAATGGGAAATGAAGGAAGATCGGGGCTTCTCCCTCCCCTAACCTTTGTTAAAAAGGCATTAGTTTAACGGATGTGTCCACTGAGCCAAAAGCCAGCTAGTGGTTAGCATTGTGTTGATTTAAAGGTAAAATTTTGAGGCCAGTGTTAGTTGGAACGAAGGGGGAAGACCGGTGCTCAGGAGAGTTCGGGTTACGTTTAGTATAGGTTGGCAAGGGCATTTTTTTTCGGTTAAAGTTTAATAAGATTATATATTAAAATATTAAACTATATTTGCTGGGTTAATTTTTATAATAAAGCTGTGGTCTATTTTTACCAGTTAAGTCTCAGGTTTTGTTATTGTTGGTGTGAGGTCACAAGGATGCACTACACGGTCCACATTACCTTCACACATGCTCCTCACAAACATTTGCCATGTCTACAACCTATCATTGTTTCATATTAAATTGTTAATTTAATGCAATCAAATATTGTTGCAACCCTTAATTGAACTTCCAGTTTGTTTCAACCACTATTTGAGATTTCTTGCTAATGACATGGAGTAGCAATTTTTGGGACAAATATACCCCTGGGCTCTAAGATAAAAGTAATGTAGAAAAAAGGAAGGAATTGTGCAAATATAAAACAAATTATTTAAGAGAATCAGATTTTGACCCTTCATCAGCCACAAGCACTTTCAAAAACTAATTTGCCTGCATCTGCAGTTTCACAACAACACAGATCTATCGCAGCAGAATGCTAGTTGGGTTAAGCAGCAGTTGGTCAGTTAACAGTACAGGCTTATTTGGGTCCAAGATAGGGACTGACCCTATTAAATAGGTACACTTTGGAGGTATATACCTACATGTGAGTGGCATGGTGTCTCTATATGTGCGTATCAGGGTCAGGGCTGGACCAATACATTGTGCTGCATGGCTCCAATGATAAAATGCTGCTCACCAAAACCAGGCCCACATCCAGACGTGCCCCCATTTGTAGGGTCTTGCCTTAGAGTGCTGGCCTGCGAGACTAAGCTTTGGTGGCGACACACTGCTATGCTAGCTTCATTGCGTTTCATAGAGATTATCTGTGAGACCAGGTTAGCCTGCCATTTCTCACAGCTTATGTACTTGTAGAGAGACTTTTTCTGAGACATTTTCTACTGTGCTGCCGACCGAGTCAGTTTGTGACACAGTGCACGCTTTCCCTGCAGCTTCTGGGCTTTTCTGAATATTCTACTTTAATTTAAGAATAATTGTTTAGTTTAAATTAAGTTATATTTAGACTTGTAATAATCTAGTCCTTTAACTTAGTGGGCTGGAGGGCATCTGTCCTAGGGGTTGACTACGAGGTTGGTTAAGATTATTAAATACAAGATACACCTAAAAGGACAGAGGTGAAAAGAAATTCATAGGGCAACACCATACAATAAAGAAATGGCCCCTTGATAGTAATAATGCACTCACAAGATGTACGAGTTGTTCAAGCCCATCAGTGTCTCTTTAAATATTCAGTTGCAGAAATTTCCAATTCCAGGAATACATGTCAAAAGAAAAAACTAGACATAGTGCAGCAAAGTTTAAAATATAAAATGACACACTTTAATTGTACACACTTACAAGAAGTGAGCAGTAAGAATGCTCATCAATAAATCATTAAGTCTTCTACTCCCAGATGGTACAAGGCAGAAGATAAATTGCAGTAAAAAAAGCTCAACGCGTTTCGTCTACTTAGATGTAGACTTCTTCAGGAGAAAATAAAAACAAACAGCATAAAAAAATCATGCATCACAAACTCTCAGCTGTCCAGAATGGCTTTTAACTATCCCCCTCTTGTCTCCGTACATTCCGCCTATCGGATGCGCTGGAATCAGCTGTTTTCATCTTCCGTCAGTCCATGCCCTTATAAAGGACTTCCGTTCCTCTTCGTGGAACGCATATGCGTTCCACCTCTCGGCGGCTTCAGAAGACGTCATCCACCCGCGCATGGAACGCACATGCATTCCAGTTCATCAATTCCTTCGGTCAGGAGCAATATGTAAATCAGATACAACAAGGCATTTAGATTCAACGAAATTCACTTAATGAAAAATACGTTTGTAACAATAAACCATATTTATGGCTAACAAATAAAGACTAGCAGAAGCAGATAAAATTGAATATACATATACAGATGTCGTCATAGGTCAGCTCCTCCAAAAGGGAGTGATTCTGGAAAATACAAACTTATAACAAATATACTAATGAAAAATAAAATATTAGAGGGGGATATTTAAAAGCCATTCTGGACATCTGAGAGTTTGTGATGCATGATTTTTTTATGCTGTGTTTGTTTTTATTATTTTCTCCTGAAGAAGTCTACATCTAAGCAGACGAAACGCGTAGAGCTTTTTTTTACTGCAATTTATCTTCTGCCGTGTACCATCTGGGAGTAGAGGACTTAATGATTTATTGATGAGCATTCTTAGTGCTCACTTCTTGTAAGTGTGTACAATTAAAGTGTGTCATTTTATATTTTAAACTTTGCTGCACTAGGTCTAGTTTTTTCTTTTGACATGTATTCCTGGAATTGGAAATTTCTGCAACTGAATATTTAAAGAGGGTCACCTTGAAGTGTCACTATCAAGGGGCCATTTCTTTATTGTATGGTGGTGCCCTATGAATTTCTTTTCACCTCTGTCCTTTTAGGTGTATCTTGTATTTGATATTTGTGTTTGAGGAATCCGGTGTTACAACCTAATACATAAGGGAAGTAATAACCTTATTTTCTAATCGTATTGCTGCACCTGGGTCATACACACATACATTTTTTTTTTTTATATTATCACATACTCATCAGAAAAACCTGAAAGTCAG